TCTTCTCAGAGAGCTAACTAATCTCAGCGCATATGCCATGGGGCTTACTTTGAGAAGACAGCTTAGTGAACGGAAACTGTTCTTTCCTTGGGGGGAGCATCTGGGAGTAATATTCCCATGTGTCAATTCTGTTAGCTCCTGTCTCGCCCACTCCGGGACACCTGGCTGCCAGACACACAAGCTGGCATGTCAGAGCCTGTCAATTCACTGGCAGCACAGAGGGTCTTAGGACTAGGGTGGCCCTTGAGTGAATGCTTACCAGAGAAAATACAGCCTTCTCTTCTTTCTTGGGGACAAGGGTCATCAGAGAGCGGTGGTCAAACAACCCTTGCCAATTTCTTTAGTGTCTGGTACATACATACTCGTGATCCCTTTGTTAGAAAAGCAAGCTCGTTTGTGTTCCTGGAGACGGTACCAGACATTCTCAGGCACCTCTGTGTGTTTTTCTCAGAACCAGCAGAGGCAGCCTTTATTGTTCCCTGGGCATGAATATTCTTGTTGTTTTTGATAAGATTCGTGGCATGCCCTGGGAGAGATAGTTTATACGCTTGCATAATGTCCTGGAGATGTTTTAATGAGACTCAGGTACTTCAGCTGTTTCCCAGGAATGCACTTTAAATTCAAACCAGACTGAACTCATCAACACATGTTTCTTTGATGAATTATTATTTACGTGAGCTGACAAGGCCGCGTGATTTTTCCATCAGTCATTAAATCTGCCCTTTCACAGTTGGCAATAAATGTTGATTTTTTTTCCTCAGTAAAAATGATCTAAATATGCAGGCTACCTATTGTTTGTTATGATGGGGGGGGGGGGGGGCAATGACATAATAACAATCCTCTGGTTCTAACAGGATACAGCTCTTTGTTGGGTTCCAGACTTGGAAAGTCACCTTTCTTTCTGAAAATGTCCTCCGATGCTAAATATTCACCAAGCTCTTAATAATGTCTGATGGCTTTTTCTCAGCAGCTACTCAGGGTTCAAGCATACTAGAGGAAATGAAAGGAGATAAGAAAGTAGGAAACCTCTGCCAGTGATGGAAACAAGATGTAGCAGATCACCTCCCAGTGAACTCCACCGCAGGGAGACCTGAGGGATGATCAGGCAGATATGTCAGATAATCACTTTTGAAATGAGAAATTACTGTTTTCTGATAAAGTAAAAGTCTCAAGTCTATTTTTTTAATGGTTGTTCTTTAGTTTAATATTTTGAAATGAAAAGTTTTGCCTCATGCTACACTTCAGGGCTAATGTAATAGAAAGAAAATAAAATTATAGGGAACTTGTCCTCAAAGGCAAGTAAATGGAGAGCAGAGTATCTTAACCTCAGGTATCTTGGGTCAGATAATTTTTTTCTGTATGAAACTATTCTGTTCGTCGCAGGGTGTTTAGCATTAGCTCTGGATTCTTCCCAGTAAATGCAGGTAGTACCTCCACTCCACGAACAAAAGTGGCTCCAGAAACTGGCAAATATTCCCAGGAACAAAAACACTGTAGAACCCCCAATTTAGAGTAAGACCTCAGATCTGTAACAAATGGAAAAAGAATCTACACATCAGGTGTTTGGAAGTGACCATCCCCTGCCCAAGCTTGCCTGAGACGAGGAAGAAATGTCTCCCATTGTCTCGGGGATGCTATCCAGATGTGTCCACAGAGAACAAGAGAAGGGAAGGTGGTAATAGTAGGGGGTAACCCAATGAAGGGCTTGTTATTAAGCTAAATGCCTCAAACTGGAGGGATCTCAGTCATGCTTGGGCTACCATGTTCAAACACTCCTCAGAATTGCCCAATAAGGGCAAGGGAATCGTGGTAATTTTCCCTGGGTGGTTCTACAGAAGCCCTTAACTCTCTCACCTGTATGCCTTGCTCTGCCATAGGATAGGAAGCCTAGAAAGTAAATAAAGCTTCAGGTTATAGCTTTCTGGGTTATAGCTATATACAACTGATAGCATTTGCTGGCCTAGAAATGAAGACCTAGGGAACATGATGGGCACTATCCTGGCATATCTTGGGTGCAATTAGCTGTCTGGCTACTTCTCCCTATTTCATTCACCATTTATACCATGAATCCTTTTTGGAGATGATGCCATCCTAAGTAAAGAGTTTTATAGGAGCCAAAACAAAAAAATCCTGTATGGATAGATGATAGATAGATAGATAGATAGATAGATATCATATAAACATGTCATAGACTGATAATTTAACCCACTGAATAAAGGCATCCGAGAACCCACATAATAGAAGAAAAGAACCAATGCCCCAATTGTCCTCTGATGTGCAGATATGCACAAGAGTGTGCATGGGTACACACTAGATAGATAGATAGACAGACAGACAGACAGATAGATAGATAGATAGATAGATGATAAGATAAAAATAAAACTGTATGAGTTAGACTGAGAGATAACAATTAGGGAAAATGTCTTGAAAGGTATCTTAGTGGGCCAGTGATGAAGACTGAAGATCACTGCCATACTGCTCTCACACTGTAATTCTTACCAAACAGGTCACTACCACACTTTTCCTGATTCCAAAGCAGCATTTTCATTGGAGATGGTTTGGGTTTAAATTTACAAGCAAATGCAGTGACTCAGCACCTGATGCTTCCTTTGTTCTCAGTGCAGCCTATCTTTTGAACTTGATCTTTCTCAGTCATGCTCAAAATGTTCTAATTGATAAAAACTAAGCAACCTCTTTATTCTGTAGAGCCCCACTTTCCTGGTCTCTGGTTTCTCTGCCTGTCTACACAGTGCTTGCTCCTGGAAGTGCTTTCTTTTCATTCCCTCTTCCACTCTCTCTCCAAAGTTCATTGTCTTTCAAGACTCTGTTCTCATGGTATTTCCTGGGGAGCCCTTCTTGCCTTTGCTCTAAGGAATAACTACACCCAACCCTGACAGTGAATTACTGATGGACCACTCCTACTCACTCCATTCTTCCTTGTATAAAAACCATCTGCATTCACCAAATGAATCTTAGAGAAAAACTACTGAGTTATATATGCCACCAGGCCCTGCAGGTGTCCAACACAAGACACTGGACATATGTAACATTGGAATAAATATCAGTGTATCAGCTGATAGGAAGAGCTATTTTTGTCCTATAACTCCCTCTGGATTTTTATTACTTGGTTTTTAGAAGAAAATGTTGTATATTGTCACAATGAGATCCCTGAATCACTGTAGGAGTTTATCTAAATCCTTCCTTGAACTTTTGCTTCTTCAAAAGTAGTAACAGTCACTATCAACTTAAGTATATTCCACAGTTCACTCCAACCTCAAAGGATTTCACTTACCTTTAAATTGGAAAGACTCAACCATAAACCGTGTTGGGAGTGTAAAGTAATAGCTGTGTCTCTTGAAAGTTATAAAGGTTCGTCCCATTTCTGGGTGATTTGGGTGTCCCCTATCTTGTCTAGTGTCAGAATGGCTTGTGTTAAATCTGGGAAGACAGATATTTTAACAAATGCTACCTGGTTCTTCAATTCATGGATGATGACATTCTGGTGCTACTCTCTTAAGTCCTTTGCTGTCTAGTTTCAGCCTGGCCTATCAAGATTTGCAGCAGTGGATAAAACTTAGCACATCTGGAGATGTGGTCAATAATTCAGGAGACAGAAATCATTATTTTTGCTAACTAAAGAGTCTAAAGCTCTTGCAATGGGGAACATTTGAAAAGTACACTATCAAAATCATGTATTGAATGGCAATCCTGGAATGTGAATGTATGCCTGTCTAGTTGAGAGATGAACTTTGTTCATCTCCAGCAATACTGTCACCATTTTTTCACTCTTCTTGCGCAAAAGACATTCTTGTGGGTCAAATGTAAAACTATATACTTTGATAGAGGGAGAGATATGTAGGTTGTAGAAAGACCCCACTATTCAAAGAGAGGCAGTCATTAACACACACACACACACACACACACACACACATACCTAGTATAAATAATATCAATGCAGTGTTCCTCATTGATACTGCTTTGTTAATCCAAGCCATCAAGTGATGAAATGAGTTTCCAGGTTTTGAGGAGGATGAGGAATATGTGGAGTACCATACTTGGCTTCTGGTGCAAGGTTTATTGGTCCTCTGTGATCTGGGTTGCTTGAGAACAGAGCATCAACACAGAGGCCCTTCACTATCTTCTTTTGCTGGTTCTCCCATGGCTTAATCTCATTTTCAAATGATTAGTGACACCTATAATTATTTTCAATGCTTTTTACATCCTCAGCTTATTTAATTGGACTCTTTAATAAGTGTATATTAAAATATGTAAGCAACATGACACAAATGTGTTATCTACTCCACTCAATGTACAAGGTTCAACTTGTTTTTGATTTTTTTGTTTGTTTGTTTGTTTTTCTGTTACTGGTGCTAGGTATCATCTCCTTCCTATGTCATAGAATTGTCCTTTGGAAAAGATACGATGAATTATTTACCCCTAATGTCTTTTTCTCGAAGCTTCTATAAGTAGAAGTTTAAGACTGTGAGGGAATTGGAAGTTGCTAAAAGAAACTAACATTGATGTGCATGGGTTGCCCTAAACGATTTCATGTCTAAATGGCAACAAAACAGTGAGAGTAAAGATTTATATCTATGGAGACACCCACAGTTGTATTTGTTTATTTTAAGCAGTATACAACACACAGTGTGCATCTGGGCTTAGCATGTCCAACCTCTGATTGCTTAGAATTGAAACCAGAATGTCAAAGTTCAGACTGTGATATACTTTCCAGTGCTTTCTAATGATACTTGATGACCTGGAATGACTCCAAAACCCTGATTAGATTTCAGCATAAGATCTGCTTATAATATTATACTATAAGTGTACATAGATTTCAGCATAAGATTTGCTTAGAGTATATGCATATGTATATGTACATACATTTTGCACAAGATAGAAAATGTGTATCATATGTTATGTAATTTACATAGAGTATATGCATTTGCCTAGTAGTAAAGTATTTCTTTTTTGTTTGTTTGTTTGTTTTTTGATTCTTCAGCTGAGACAGAGAGAAAGATGGTTTATTGTACACGGGTTACACTTGGCCACAAAGGGAGAGAACAGAACGAGTTCAGAACACCGCAGGTCCGGGTCCGAGGGCCAGCAGGACTGTTTGGGTTGTAAGGAAGGCCGGCCAGTCTAGGAGGTGGTGTCTCTGCGAGTAGACGGTGAGGTTCCAGGTCCACTGAGACTTAGGACGACAGTAGCACACAGTCCAGCAGCTTGTACCAGCATCCCGTCCCGGCCTTCGGCATCCCTCACTTCTGTGCCTTGGCCTTGCTGGGTGGACTGGGGGTTTACCTGGACCTCTGCGTCATCTTTCTTCTCTTGCACTTCAGCCTGCGCCTTTGCTTCTTCCTCCGTTTCACTCTCATGGCACAGGAGTCCCAAGGAAGATGGAGCTAAGGCCGAGAGAGCGAGAAAGCAGAAATGATGACTCGATTTACTTGACCACATTAAAAAATAGAACTTGATTTCCAATAATTTTCTTCAAATGTGAGATTACAATGAAGTTTGTAGTAACCATCTCTCATCTGACCAGAAGAAAACCTGTAGATAATTCCGATTTCATTGAGCGTAACTTATAGAAGTCCCACATACAAAAGGGGGGGGGGGTGTTGGGAAATGTCTAGCTGGTTTGTGTGTCTGTCCTATGGCTTGGTTCTGTTTCATCTTTCTCCATAGAGAAATTGAAAGCACTTAATAATAAAAGCGAAAGTAAAAGAATCATGAGAGTGTAGTACTTGAAACATAACTGAGAATAGCTACTTAATGACAAATTGAAATAATTATCATAACTAGAGATCTCTAAGCATCTTTGAAGCTTCATGATCATCGCTTGATTGTTTTGTAGGTTTTGTTTTATTTTATTTTTGTTTGAGGCAGAGAAAGAAACAGAGGTGAAATGGGTTGCAGAATAACTGTATTTGCCAGTCCCTTGGTTCTAAAAGAACTTGCTATCTAAACATTAAAATAGTAACATTGATAACAATCAGTGTGATCTGTTGTTAGAGGTATTACTGAGAAAATATACTTACATAATATGGTGTGTGTGAGAATGTGTGCATATACACACTTCTTAAAGACTTTAAAATGTTTAAAACTTCAATTAATGACTTGAAATTCATTATAAAGATATTTATATCAATATGAATTCTTTATTAACCTGCTTTCTTTTACTGTAATGCAATACTTAAGGATGTATAGGTATAAAGAAAGCAGGTTTAGTTATCTCACTATCTTGGAAGCCCAAACAGAATGGCCTCAGATTAGTGAGACTCCCTGCTGACTCCACGACTTCATGGTGGATGGTGCCATGAATGGAAGGGGTGACTATGAAAAAGAAACCATTTGTTAATCTAGGAAGCCAGAACATACCGGGAGCCTCATCCTACTATTCCTGACCCAACTCCCCTGTGAGTACTTCCTCAAGTGCCTGTGCGAACTACCTTAATCCCTTCTGAGTGTGTGAACTGAAGAACCACCCAGTAGACGGTATGTGAACTGAAGAACCACCCAGTAGACGGCACTTCTTAAAGAGCCTGTTGCTTCTGGACACAAGCTTGGGGCTGATATATCAGTTTTAACCATAACCAAATGATAACAAACCCTAAGACAAACAACACCATTCTTCCTGGGAACTTTCATATGACCGGAAAGAGAGTGGTGATCCCACATCAAGTCAAAAAAAAAAAGACTAAAGTCACAGAAGTCAGGATGGTTTTTATCTAGCTAGCACCATTTGGAAAGAGAAAGAAAAAGGAGCGCTTCAGTTAAAAAGAACTTTCTGTTTTCCTGGTTGTGGTATTGCCCTGCTCTTGAAATGATTCAACTGGTTCTGCTTTTGATGGCTCCTCAGCAGTCTTTATGACAACAGAAAAAGCAGATTCCCAAAGAAAGAAACTGGGCTTCAAAATAAGAGTCTGACTGGTACACTGGGTAAGAATGAGTCAGTATCCCCACATCTGAACAACTGGTAACATGTGCAAACCTGTGAGAAAGCCAGAGGGAAGACACTGGTGTGATCCTTGAGGCCCCAACCAATTCCTTGCCTTCCACCAAAATTTCTATCATTAGATAGAAAAAAATTATTTAACAGTTTTATTCAATTCTTTTTTCCTTTAATGTTACTATTTTGAAAGAAATTTCCAAATGAGATTTTGCTCTGTATGTTCTGTTCTAAGTAGATAATGACACTTAGAAGTATGGAGGACAGCTGATTTTTATTGTCCCCCATAAAAACTGAGAATGCTCCTGTAGAGCCAGAGGAGAAGCAATTCTGAATGGGGCAAAGAAAAGAACACCCAAGTGATGCCATTCTTCAGTGATTGGCCTGAGGCATAGAAAACTTTAAATGCATGGGAAATTACCCTCCAGAAACCATTTGGGACCATTCCTTCTGATGGGCTTTGGGAAATCTGGCTAAAGACAAGCCAAGATATCTCTCCTTGGAGAGTCCAGAATCTGTTGAGAGAAGACAGAGTCTATGAAAAATCTGAAATTTGTACCCTGAGTGTGGGTTGCGGGAGCATCCTACACTTGGGCTCTGGAGTCTGACCCTTTACAAAAAAAGACAAGAGAAGACTCTTTTCTTGAAGAGAACTGCACAGCTTCTACAGAATATGATGAAAATAACTGATAGAAAAGTAAGCTCCCCCCACCTCCCACATCATTTTAGACACTGCTAGCTAATGGCTACCATAGCATCTGAGGATTGCTCCAAGATGACTTTCACCTGGACAACTGTCAGTCAGCTTTCTATCACTGCCACAAAACAGCTGAGAAACTCAAGTTATAAGGAAGAAAGGGCTCATGGTTTCAGTGTTTTCAATACCCGGTCACTCAACCCTGTTGTCTTTAGGCCTATGGTATACTTCACTGTGGGAGCGCATGGTAGAAGTAGCTGCTTACCTATCTCACTGCAGACAGAAAGCAAAAGAGAGAGAAAGAAGGGGCTACACCCCTAATGACTGGACTTTCTTCCCTAAGGCCTCACTCCTTATAGATCCCATCACCTTCCAACAATTCCAAAGGCTGGCCATCAAGCTTTTAGCTCATGCTCCTTTAGGACCCAACATTTTCAAAGCAGGTATTTTTCTGCATCTGTGGAGATGACCAGAAAATATGGTGATGGCTGTCAATCAATACTTTAGCTGAATAAAGGTGCTTAGCTGACAAATATTAACAATGGCTTCACATGGAAATCAGTCTGTATTAGGATTATGTTTTATTCACTGATTGTATCAGGTGTTCTCAATAGTTACTATGAATGAGTCAATTTGCAATACAAAGGCAGTGGACACTATAAATTAATACCTGATCCCTCTCAGTCTACAGCTCATAGTCCTTATCTGATACCCTTTGTCCAGCAGCAATAAAGTTATTCCTGTGGGATATAACAATACGATAAATGATTTTGTGGTACTAAGAAAGTCATTTAAAATATCACTCATGTTCTTACACAATTAACATATGTTCATTGTAAGTATTCACAAAATAAGGGTAAGAAAAAAGTTCCAAATCAACCATAATTATATCATCCACATATTTTTGGGTGCTATCATGCAGATTGCAAAGTGTATACACACACACGTGTTCACACACACACACACAGGTATGCATGAATGCACAAATGTAGTAAGTAATTCAAAGAGAAAATGATGGTTTATGCAGGTACAACAGCATCCCAAAGCTGACTGGGATACTTGCTAGCTAAGTGATTATGTTTCATCATTGCTTAACTCCTTCATGCTTAGGGCAAAGCATATTATCTGAACGTGATGATATCCCCAGATACCATTTTCACCAAGTTAATGTCTTCAGTAAAATGGATAAAGTGCCTCTGTCTTCTTATTTCTTCTCTCTACATTGGTTCTTACTCTACTTCATCCTTCGTTTTTCTTGTGGTTGTTTTGGTTTTTGTTCATTTTTGTTTTTTCTCTTGAATTGTTAAATTGATTGATCAATCAGTTAATTAAAACTATTTTCATTGTGTTTATTGGTACTGGAGCTTAAAACCAGGGTCTCGCAAATGCTAGGCAAACAATCTACCACCAGGCTCTACCCTCAACATTAAACCTACTCTTTTGACAATAATGTCTCAAAATAGTTTTGGAACACTGGGATATAATGTAAATTTTAGATTTCCCTTTTCAAGAAGAAAGTGAGTATTCTTTACTTGTAAGCAACTATTTGGATAACCTTTCCCACCATTCAAAGCCCTTATCCAAACCCCAACAAAGTTGGGAGCCCTGTCCTAGTCTTCCTTCCTTTCTCTGTTTTCTGAAATCTGATTTTGTTTTAGGGGGTGGGTCTGGCGTCACTCCCAGTAGCACTATGGAAACTTTCCTCCAGTCATTGTTGGAACAGACTTTCCATTTGCTTCTGTGGCTGAATTGGCTGCCCTGGCGCTAAGCAGTAGGACCAGGAAACTGAGTGAGTAGTGAATATAGCTTAGCAATGATTTCTTCCAAATTGCTGGGCCCACATATAATTGGTTTTGTTGACGTACCAGTTTGCATACACTCTAGGTCATCAACATGGCCAAAAAAAAATCTGTGAGTCTTGCATACAATGAGAGAGAGTACAATGAGTAGAGCAACTCATAGTAGGTTCAGGCTTCCAGATGCACCCAGCTCAAAGATGGAATTGCTGCATAATTCACAGGAGCTTGGGATACCAGAAAACATCCTAGCAGCATCACCTATAGATCTTCACAGACCAGCAAGATCCAGGAGCCTTGAGTTGGGGTGGCTTTTACTTTGTTCACAGAGCATCAGGATCCGTATGGGAGGGGTTAGAGGATGGAAGTGCATGGTTGGTTATGAACCGTATCTTGAGAGCATTAAATTCCTGCCATAGCATTAAGAAATAGCCTATGGTCTCGGGACTTGTGAATAGAGTTATGTTCCAGAGCATAAGGCCAGGGCAGATTATGATTTCCAAATTGTGTTTGAATTTCCTGATACGGATTTGCTTGGAAAAGAGCCTTATCATCATCGAAACTTTTAAAGAATTGCAGGAGTTATTCTCTTTCTGCAAATCCAATTTTGAAATAGGAAACTCTGGGATGGAATGCTTCAGTAGTATGACTTAAAAGTGCCAATGGTTCTTTGTGTACAAATCTTTCATACTTCAGTAACATACTTAAATACTGAAAAGGAAAAAAAGAACCATCAGTTTTGCAAGAGAGGTAAATAAAAAGATAAAAGATCTCCTGCCATGTGACAACCCATGACATTTTCCTCAGCTGTTAGTCACATTGTACGGCTGGCCATGCCCCAGAAACCACAGCCCTCAATTACATTTGCTCTCAGACATGTGGAAGAAACGCATGCTAAAACAATTAACCAAATTAGGACATTTACATTTTCCCCCAGACTGGAAGTGCCTGTGACTCTTC